CGGCCGGACAGTCGACCTCGTCCGAGCCGTCGTGACAATGAGAGCGACCGTCACAGACCTGACTCTTTGAGACGCAGCTCCGACGGTCTTTGCAGCGGAAGTCGGCTGTCAAGAAAACAGTCAGGAATAAATAAAGTAAATAAAGTTTCAGGACTTTTGAAACCATGAAAACACAAAACATTAAGTTGTAACAGACTCCAGCGTACTTTTCGAAGGGCATCTTTTTACACAGGTATTTTCATCAAAACCGTCGGGACAGTCTTTACGGCCGTCGCAGAACTGGCTGGGAGAAACGCAGAGTTGAACAGAAGGACAGAGCACGGACGGGCTGCTGCAGGGGGGCACAGTCGGAGCAGGAGATGTGGAGGATGAGGTGATAGCAGGTCTTGTTGGAGATGCATCTTGGAGATAAAGAATCACACAGTTAAGTTTTTATCAACTAAAAAAAATTGTTGAAAACCTTGATTGCAAATGCCCCGAGACATTTTGTCTCAGGGACACCTACCACATTCCATCTCATCTGATCCGTCCTTACAGTCGTCCTCTCCGTCACACACGTGGCCGTATGAAACACACTCTGTGCCGTCTTTGCACAGCTTCCAGCCCATACGACACTTCAGGACTTTTGGCTGAGCGGCCGGAGGAGCCACGGTCGGACAGTCGACTTCGTCTGAGCCGTCGCGACAATTTGAGTGACCATCGCAAACGAGTTTCCTGGCGATGCAATTGCTGTTGTCCTTGCACTTGAAATCCTCTTAAAAAAAACAGTAGAAAGAAAATTACACAGGGATAGTATGAATAAGTGTAAGTTTTAGATTTGTACATTTACCTTTAGATGGACATGTGGTGACACAGAATTCCTCGTCGTCTCCTTCAGGACAGTCCTGTTTACCGTCACACAGCCGAGCTCGTGAGAGGCAGACGGATGAGTGTCTGCACAGCACGGACGGGTCACTGCAGACTGAGGAACTGGGCACTGTGGGAAATTATTATAATGAAAATAATAAAGATTCAAATTAAGAAGTGTAACAAAGTTTAAAGAAAACTATCTGTTCCTAACCCTCCAAACCAACGAGGATCCACATTTAACGGAACCCTTCTATATTCTAAACTTTGACAGAAAATCGAAAGTAATAAAAAAGTTCCACAAATCTAATTCAAGATGATTCAGGATAAAACCAAATGTTTTTGAATCTCATTTCTTCTTCTGTGACAGATTAACCGGGTCTGACCTGTTCGAATGTCCCTGAGCGCAGAGACGACTTGGACCACGTGACCCCTCACTGCTATGTTTTGGACGGGCGTCCCTTCACGCCGATTCCACAGAGTCATGACGTCGTCGGAGAGCGACAACAGGAAGGGTTCGAAGGCGCCAACAACTGAGCCGGAGATGTTCCATCTTCTTCCAGCTTGGTGGCTTCTCACCTGCAGTAAACTCATGACCGTGAGGCCTGGAAAAAAAAAAAAGGTGCGAGAAATAAAACTCATCAGTAGAGAACCATAGAAGATTAAGATCTGGTTGTTTTTAGATGCTGTTCATGCATTTTATATCTGTGCCTCTCGCTTGTTTAATTCAATGTAGTAAACTATGTGACTATTGTTCAGTGTCATTTCAGTGACCTGAGCTTCCTGAGTTCCAGAGCAGACTACTGGCCCTGAGGTCGAAGGCCATGTTCCCTGTGACTCCTCCCGCTAACTGCAGCAGCTCTTTGGCTTTGCCTCCCATCTCGCTCATGCTGAAGATGCGGTCGTCCTCCAGCCAGATGATGCCACCTCTCAGCCAGTCAAGAAAAAACTCCTGGATGTTCCTCGCTGTGCGGTACAGCTGCTGCGGGAGACCTCCGCTCGCCGTGGTGGTGCCGATGCTTTTCTGGTCACAGGACACCCAGTAGAGGCTCCCCTTCCTCTGGTCTACTTTTATATGACAAACTGAAAAGAATAAAACAGGAAAGTTGATCAATAAACAGTTTAAAGCATATAAAGCATTATTTCCCCTCAATATCCTTTTTAACATTCATGTCTGTTCCAGTCGAGGGAAAATCAAATCACACACCGGGCAGAGGAGCTGGCAGCACCTCGGTCTGGACCTGCGTCAGACTGGTGCGTTGGATGTGGCCGGTGTTGTTGGCCCAGTACAACCAGTCTCTGTACCAGTCCACATTAAACGACAGGATCCCGTCATCGGTGCTGAACAGCAGCTTATCAGAGGACGCTTTTTCTCTAAACTCCAGCAGGTTGATGTTGGAACTGGTGGCGTAAATAAATCGTGGATCTGCGGAACAAAAAGAGACTTTAATGACTCCCGCATCCTTTCCAACTTATCATGGGACTGCAGATTATAATAATCAGTTTCATCATCACCTCATAAAATTATATTAATGAACCTACATTCACAGGATCCATCAACTAGCAGCATTTTGAAGTCGGGACAGGTGCAGCTGAATCCGGCAGGGTTGGCTTTAGTTAACTGGCAGAGGTGACACGGAGTCTTCACACAGGCAGTGGAACCTGATGGATGATAACATGATATATTTTAAAATGTGATAAACATTATATAATACAAAAAGTCAAATACTGTTGTAAAAAAAAAATACCTTGAGGCTGCTGGAGCTCCTGGAAAACAGTGAACAGAGGCAGATCAGCTTTCCAGAGAAACTTCTTCTGGTTCCGTTGGTTCTGTGGAACCTGCCACAGGCCTTTGTTGTCGACCCAGTAGAACAAACCCTCAAACACCGCCAGGCTGAGAGGAGCACGCCTGGAGAACAGTCCGGTGAAGGAGTAACGACCCGTCCCGTCCACCTTCACCGTCTCTATGGACTGAATGACACAAGTTCACAGGTAGACGATGAATCTTGATCTAGTTGGTGGAATATTTGAGGACAGGAAGGAAACTGCTTCTTTCAGTAACTCGCCTTCTTGAAGTCGCTGATCCAGTACAGTCTCCTGGCCTCCACGTCGGCAGTGAGGCCGTGAGCAGACTGAGCAGTGAGGACCGTCAGAGTGTTTCTTTCTGATCCGTCCATCCACGTCTTCTCTATCGTCACCCGCTCACCTGGGCCGCCATTGATCCAGAACATCGAGCTGGGAGAGAGAGAGAAATTAAATCTGAGTCTGTAAAATCAAACATTTCCAGACAATTGTGAAAGTTACTCATTTTCCATTGAAATAAGTTATTATTGTTGTTATATAACTTGGATAACTTTAAATTGAAATGTTACCTTTCCACAGGTAAAAGCACCAGATCTGACGGACTGATGTTTTTTCTCAGCAGAGTCGTGTAACTGTCTCCATCAGCTGCCTGCATGTAGAGCGCCTTCATCTTCTGATTGGTCCAGTAAAGGTTTCCATTCAGCCAATCACAAGCCAGGCTCTTAATTCCAGGCTCTCCTGTTTGAAAATTAGGGAGAGTTTTGCTTTTTCTCCCACAGTTAAGATTTGAAATTATTCAACTGTGAGCAACAACTAAAAAATGTTTTTATATTATAAATTATTACCAGAAATATTGGATATAGACATTTTAATTCATATTCCACCGACAATTAGAGCATTTTTAAACCTTCACATTGTGATTTATATATAATATATATCCATAACATTTCAATAACACACGGTAAACGCAAGTTAATCAACGATATTAAAGATCTCACAACATGACTGACCAGTGTAGGTGGTCCAGCTGCGACGTCCATCACTTTTAAAGATGCTGCCGCGCCCGTTGGCCCAGAAGTACCATCCTCTGGCCACGTCAAACGTCACGGCCACTGGGTCGATCACCGCAGTCATGACGACCTCAAACTGTTGAGACTTCACGTTCAACAGTCCGATGGATCTCCCCTGCACGGTCAGCAGTCGGGTGGCGTTACCTGGACACAGTCAGAACACGAGGAAACACATCACTGTAAGATAAGTTATGAAGATGTTTATATCTTAAAAACAGATTCAGACTCAAAATAAACTGGATGACTATTGTTTTCCTTCTTCAACATTTAACATTTGCAAGATATACACAACATTTTCCATTTCTGTTGCCGCTTGTCCTACTGGAACTTTATTTTCCTCGACCCCTGTCCAATATCTCAACGTGACATTTCCTTATCTCGCCTCTATACGAGTGCTGCCATTGAAATACATCACATCCTTAAAAAGAAGTTCCATGTTTGATCTCAGTTTTTCTTGCTTTTGTCACGAGCTCAGTCACATCTACAGCTTATTAACATTTCACTGATCTTGTTTCCAAGTGTCTCAGGTTTGATCTTTTCCGCAGAGTGAAACTAGATCCTGAGAAGATTCACATTAAGCTCATGACTGACCAGAGTTTGATTTGTCCTGACATGTTGTTCGGTGTTAAACATCCAGACTTGTTGGATTCAGTGTTTCTTCTCTGGTTCAATGACGACATTAGTTGTTAAAAACAAAACGGTCAAAATGTGCGTGAGATATTTGCAGCTGGATTCAGTTTTGGGGTGGAGTCGTTTGGGAAACTCAAGCCTCATTACCTTTTGCTACACATATGGAGTTTCCATTCAGGCTGAAGCCGTCTCTGCAGTGGCAGTAGTAGGATCCGATGGTGTTCGTGCAGTGATGCATGCAGGGAGAAAAAGGTGACGCACATTCATCCAAATCTGGGGAGGGAGAGAGGGTTAAAGCCTCAAAAGAAGGAGACTTCAAAAAGATTCAGCTTTAGAAGAGACACTGGAGGAAAACATCTCCTGAAAACCCAAACCGGATGTTTCATTTTTTTCATTTTGCTCTTGTAACTGATGGCGACGGGCTCCAGGACGCAAAGGACACAGTCATTCCACACACCTTCACAGACCGCTCCGTTAGCTGAGAGCTTATATCCAACTCGACAGGCACACAGAGCGCCCCAGGGCTCGTCGACACACACATGGCTACAGCCGCCATTGTTCATCGAGCAAATACGACCTGTGGAGAATCATGACACAGTTCAGCTTCACGGAAATCCGTTTCATTACATCACATTACTTCAGATCAATAAACAGAATCAGCAGCAAAGCACCAGGTTTTTTCTTCCTCCTCATTATTGTAACTCATGTAAATCTGTGTCTGTTACCGCAGGTTATAGGCTCATCGCTTCCATCTGAGCAGTGAACATGTCCGTCACACCTCTCTTCAGGAGATAGACACGTCCCGTCAGGACACCGCACGCTGCCCTCAACACACACACCTGGAAAGAGGACAAACGTGTTTTACTGCGTCAGCTGGTTGTGTCTTACACATCCTGAGACTTTGGCTTCAAACGCAACCACAAGTTTTGTTGGATTCTACGTCCTGCTCCTGAGGACTCTTCACATCCGGAGGTTCTCCAGGTTCTTCCACATTAGCATTCTCACATACAGACCCTGTGGGACATGTCAGGAAGTTCTCCAGAGTGCAGTGAAAGTCTGAAAGCAGCTTGGAGCAAAATCTTTTCTCGAGGACCAATTGTCCACGCTGGCCTTCTGTAGTAAAATGGCAGTGCAACATGGTGGGATCTGTGGAGGAGGATCCACTGCTGCTGTAAATATTAACTAACAACTCTTAGTTTCAGGTGATTTTACATGAATGAAAACAGAATTATGATGATATTTAACTCTCGATCCCTCTAAATTCCACACTGAACATTTAAAATAAAACCATTCCTTGTTGTTGATTGTTAAACTTCCCAATGTTTATATCCAGAGGAAGAATATCATTAATAAGATATCTGCTTTGCTGCAGTAGATTCCACGAGAGATCCTTAAAAAAATAAAATCAAACTTCACTCTGAAGTCTGATGCATTCACACAGATTCTGCCTCCTGCGTTCGACCTGCTCGTCGTCCTCACCACAGTCCTTTTCGTCAGAGTCGTCCATGCAGTCGTTCAGCCTGTTGCAGCGCTGCTCTTTGGGGACACACAAGCGGTTCCGACAGGTCCAATCTGAGTCCAAACAACCGTCAGGGGCTGTACAGCTCTCCTCGTCAGAGCCGGTGGGACACTGGCTTTGTCCGTCGCAGCGGGCCGAAGCATCCACGCAGTCGACAGAGTCCAAGCAAGGAAACTGACCTGGGGGACACTGAGGGGAGCCTGGGGGCGCTGGAGGAAAGACAATAGTTTCAATCCATTTCTTCTGCTATAACTGCTGCTGCTGCTGCTTTCATCAAGTTAATATTAAGACTCTTTAAAAACAAGTTTACCCACCAGCACAATCCATTTCATCAGATCCATCCAGACAGTCTCCTTCTCCATCACATCTCCACACATCAGGGACGCAGGTTCCATCATCACACAGCCACTGGCCCCGCTGGCATCCCAATAACTGGCCTACACAGACACAAAGTACAAATAATGAAATAGAAGATTAGAAAATATGTCACTGATGCAAGTTACTGACTGAAACATTAAATTAAGGAGTTTTATTACACAGAGGTAGATTCAAGTTGCTGTACAGGGAGATGAAACAACAACAGATTTAAGAATTAAAAGAAATGAATTTAAAATCAGAAGCAGAGTTTCAAAAACTGTCAAGCACATAAAGAGAAGAGGTAAGAAGATTAAAAGAGGTAAAAGAGTGCTGCTTCACCTCTGTGCCTGTGATTCATTTGTTTCTTGACAACAAGACTAAGCTAAGACAAATTCTGTTGAACTAAGTTTTAAAAAGAAAACTTCTAAAATGAGCATAATTCCATCTGGATTAACAGGAGACCACTAGAAAATCTGATTTTACTGCTGTTATCCTCCTGTCAGGCAGTTTGTAAATGTCTTTGAAAGGTATATTGACTTTATTATTGTGATTTATATTACTGCAGCACTGATAAACCAACCAGATTCAACGTGTCAGTGTGAGATAACTGTAAATCCAAGTATCAAAGGTAAGAAATAATTAACAGGCAGATTGAAATCCAGCTTTAAACGTATGAATAAATTGACCTGGACGTGAACTCCTCATTGTTCCACCTCATTCAGACCCAGCTCCATTCTCTTATCCACTTCAAACGACCTTTATTTAAATCTGGCACAAACACATGGACACGTTCTCAGGTGGTCCTTCAGGTTAAATGTCCTCAAAGTGTCTCACGTCACCTTTATGTAACTTTACGTTTCATTCACTTCAAAGTAAACTGCCTGACTCGAGTTTTAGCTCCAACGAAGCTCAACTGGACCAGAACACTGAAGCCGGTGGGATCAGGAGCGACGCCATGTTGCCTGCTCCATGTTTACCTCGTTGCTGCGTTTTTATTTGTGGAAATTAACACTTTAGCGCACGAACACACGCGCAGACTTTGGATGAGAAGTGACACAAACGAGTTAAAACGCTGTTTAGGAGGTTTGTTACCTGCTGAGAGTCTCAGAGGGGCCAGAAACATCAGGCCGAGGAGGAGCTGAGGGTCCATGTCTGCCCGAGGCTCGTCGGGACAAACAGTGACACCTGAGAGGACACGTTTAAATCAGCCCCGCAGGTGCGCGTGACACCACGCACATGTCAACACAACAGCATCATTCATTCATAAAATACATTTTGAATCCTTCTTCACTGTGTTATTTTATTATTTCATTGACTTGTGTGTGTATGAACACGTTCTTTTGATTGTATTGATATTTGATTGATGTTATTGATGCCATTAATTCAACCTTCAGTGTCTCAGTGAGGTGTTGGCACATTATATGTTTAGTTCAGTTGTGCGTAATTGGATAGCTTTTGCACTTTTACGCGCAAAGCGACGTTGTTCGATTCCCTGTTTACTTAATGAATCATATATTCAAAAGCAGACTCTGTACAGTTCATGGTTTGTAAACTCATTCCCAGAGTATCTGGTGAACAATATTTTATTTTATTTCGTTCTGTCATTTGAAGTTGTATGATTTCAAGAGACATATTTTATAAGTGTGCCTTCTCCTAATTCTAATTGTTTTAAATAATTTTCTGAAATGTGGCTTTGACTTTTGTTTCTATTGCACTTAAACATTCTGAATCACACTTAAAATGATTCACTATGAAGTCCCATTACATTTACATTACAGCCTAATGTTTTTAAGATTCCATTTGTTCCTTTCGTTCCCATCACCCAGAAGCTGCAGGTTCTAGTTAGAAACTAAAGTTTGTTTGATGATGTGAACACAAAGACGTTTCAAAGAGCAGAATGATTTTAATACTAATGGCTCATCCTCTTCATGTCGTGTTACTCTGTTCACACATCACGTTCTTCACACAGGGATCCAAGCTCTGAAGTTCCCCCTCAGCTCTTTCTTCTTTTCTTTGGAAGTCAAGTGTCCAGTTTGTTGTGTGAACGAGCAGCGATCAGCTGCTGATATCTGACGTCACCCACGTCCCTTTCATGCTGTTCCTGTCAATCATCTGAGTACATGACACATGTATGAACTCTTCCTGTTTGAACTCTTCATGTATGAACTCTTCATGTATGAACTCTTCATGTATGAACTCTTCATTGGAGCTTTTCACAACTGTTCATTCATAAAAGCATTCGTCCAAAGATCACAGAGAAAAGACTGATATTTAATGTTCCTGTGATCTGTTGTGATTGATGTTTTTATTGAAAATTATTTATCTCCAGTTCAGTTCAGTATATCACCAGGATCATGTTATTGACGTTGTTACACTTTGGTGAAACTTTACATTTAGTTTAAAACAAAAACTTGTAAAAGTTTTATGAGGATGATTATTAATATCTTTGTTGAGCACATAGATAACATACCTAATAATACTTAGATGTTATTCTATCGTTCCCTTTGTGAAGCACTTTGTGAATGTTTAGAATAAGGTTTATTGTTAATATTTGTATTTAAATAGCACTGAGATAACATATAATACTTAATAATAATGAAATTTTATTAGATTTGAATTCATGATTTATGGCTTTATTGTTGTTTTTATTCTTTTGTAAATATGTTGAATATAAATAAAGTTTATAATAATAATAATATTTGTATTGAGGGAAATTAGCACAAAAGAATAAATCTTACTTAAAACGATTTGATTTGATTCTTGTCTGATTGTTGCTTTGTCAGATGCTTTTATAAAGTTTACTTTTGTTTTTATCGTTTTAATATTCAATTAGAACAACAGACTTAACATGTCAGTGTTAGGTTACTTCAATTCTTTTATGGTTTCAATGGAAACAAGAGGAAACGACAAACAGGAGAATCAGAATCCAGTTTTCAAAGTATGAACAAGATGCATGAGATCTGAGTGTGTCTGAATTCAGTTCTCACAACAGATCACGACCAGAGAGTCATTTCTGATTAACTCCCGTGTTACGTCCCCATTAATCACTGCGCAGTTGTGCAGCTCGTAATCTCCTTAACCGATGTGATTGTCAGGGCTTCTTATCAAAGGGATCTTTAATATTCAAAGGAGCAACTGGACCCTTCGCGGTTTCACACCTTCGACACTACACAGACCAATTGGTTTCGATACACAACGTTAAAGGTCAGTGAGCGGCCCCGTGGATCACACACGCCCTCCATCCATCCAGCTTGACAGATGTGTTCAAAGGACGTCAGGGGAGAGGTGTGTCGCTATAAAGCCTGAGTCTGTGGATCCCATCAGCACCATTCCACTTTTACCTGAGGAGGAGACAACACCACATCTGGAATTATGAGGGCACTCGCTGTGGATTTCTCTTTTGCGCTTTTTCTCCTCCTGGTGGATTTGGTTCTGGGTAACCCTGACGCACTGCTCCGGGACGCCGGCTCCAGACGCATGGTGCGGCGGCAGCAGAGCACCGGGCTGCCCCTCTACATGATGCAGCTCTACCGGACCATGCTGACCGACGACCGCCACGCCGGGGAACCGGCTGCCAGCATCGTGAGGAGGGCGGAGGACAACCTCGGTCTGCACGACTCCGACTCTGTGGTCAGCCTTGTCGCTAAAAGTGAGTATTCCACATTGGACCAGTTTTCTGAAAGGAGTTTGTTATCATGGCTGTGCGTAACAGTATGGCACACAGTGCGTAAATGAAACAGTGAGCCACTCATTTAGATCATGCAATATATACAGAACATGTTCCTTAGAAAGTGAATATGTTAATTTATTTTCGCCTTAATCCAATCATTAGTTTAATCAAACTCTTAATCAATGTATTTTCATGCAAACCCCAACTGGGAATAGAAGCTGTGCTGTTTATAAAAGCTGCATCTCATGGTCACCACATGACAAATAACACATTTGGTCAAGTGTGTTTGTAAATTCAGTGTCTTCTGTTCTGAGAGTTGTGAATAATGTCGACTTACTTTCTTCACTGTTGTGTTTTTCAGGTTGCCATCAGATTGGCAAGAGGTGGTCTGTCACCTTTGACCTTTCCTCCATGTCTGCAAGTGAAGACGTCCAGCTGGCCGAGCTTCGCATCCGCCTGTCGGACTTCGCAGAGTCTCCCCGAGCCTCAGTGGACATCTACCACTCCCACAGGGAGCCGTGCTCTGAGAGGCACTGCCCAGAGGTCAGGCAGCTCCTGGGCCGCCTCAGAGCTCATCCCAGTTCCATGGTCTCCTCTTCCTCCTGGAAGTTGTTCAACATGACGGAGATGCTCCGCCACTGGCTGCAGGGGGAGCGCTCCGCACAGAGGATGGAGGACAAGGCCGAGGTCGAGGTGGGAGAGCAAGAGGGAGTCCAGCATCCTACAGCTGACCGGGTCATGATGGCAGTCTTCTCCAGGCAGAACAACAACAGCCAGCGAATGCCGTCGCTCATCCGCACAGCAGAGCACTCCAAGTACGTCAGCCTGGACAGGGAGCGAGCGACAGCCGGCTCAACCATGGGGATGAGGGTCAAGAGGCACCATCGCACCCGGCAGCAGAGACGAAGAGTTCCCAGGGTCGCTCATGCTCACAAATCTGCAGAGGAGGAGAAGAAGAAGAAGGGTCCTCTCTGCAGGAAGGTGGACATGTGGGTGGACTTTGAGAAGATCGGCTGGAGCGAGTGGATCGTTTATCCTAAACGGTACAACGCATATCGCTGTGAGGGGAGCTGCCCCACACCAGTAGACGAGACCTTCACCTCAACCAACCATGCATACATGCAGGTAAGTCAAACTCTATCATTGTGCAGAATCTGCAGCAACAACAAACACACCAACGCTCTACTTGGATGAATTTGTTCTAATCAGCAACTTTCTTCTCTTTTCTTTATCCAGAGCCTCCTGAAGCTTCACCACCCAGACAAGGTGCCGTGTCTGTCCTGTGTGCCATCACGCCTGGCGCCGCTCTCCATGTTGTACTACGAGAACGGAAAGATGATCATGAGGCATCACGAGAACATGGTGGTGGAGGAGTGCGGCTGCCACTGAGTGAAAGACTCGGAAATACAGCTTTTTAGCTCTTGAGCTACTCAGAGGCACAAAGTGGATGAAGTGTTCGTCCACAGGCACTTTACAGAGAAGTCCAGTTTGACACTGGGACAGTGCTGCGGGGGTGCAGGACATTAAAAGAAGGGAACTATTGTATCCACTGGACAATTCTCTATAAACTATGGGTATAACAAATAGTATTAATGGTTTGAAGTATATTATGTAGATTAGGTGACCAGCTGTGTGATGGTTTGTAAGAAGTGATCATGATCCACAGGACAGTCTCAAACTGAAGCACTGTAGACGACTCAGCTGTACACGAGAGGACTTATGTAGGAATCTGATTTTAACGCCATAGAAATGATAAATGCAGACGTCAGAATGTAAAGCGCTTTACCTTTATTTGGGTCACATTGATCCATGTGTGTGTTTGCTATGTACAGTAATACAATAAATTATTTCTTATCATGAACAGAGTTTTTTGTGGTTTTCTTCACAGTATTTCTACACAGGGTTTAATGCTGGCTCTCCTATTGTTCTCAACCTCATATCACACAGAAACCAAACATTTCCAACAATGAGTGAACATTGTGTCCAGTCAGTTGTAAAAGGTAATGAACTGGATTAATAAAACGCTTTTCTTATCGAATGGCTCTTTACATCACAAGCCACTCCCACTCATACATAACTGTCACATATCAATGACGGAGGCTGCCCAGTCTGGCAAAGTCTGACTGAAGGAGCCGGGGATCAAACCACCGAACCTCTGGTTCATACACGACCTGCTCCACCAGAACCGTGTTTGTCAGAAGTACATTTTCAGAGAGTCTGATTTTTTATAAACAACTTCCGAGCCTCCGACATCGTGTGGCAGAACATTAGCACATCAGGTGTAAGCACCGAATCATTTCATTTCTACTTAATGAACTGTTACTTTACAAAGTAGAGTTCATGATTTCAGTTTTTTATTTGTTTAAGATTAAACATTTAAAGACATATTTTTACAATCATTAAATGAGTTAAATCAGATAAAAAACATTAATGGTTTCATTTCAACGGAACGTCGACACACGTGAGTTAAATAAGTCACAGGTCGACTTCCATCAAAGTGTTTGTTCGCTTTGAACAAACAGTGTTGTTTTATGAGAGTTACATTTTAACACATATAAGGTTTTTAAAAAAACATAAGAGGATTACACAGCTTCTCATTTCAACCTATTTATCACAGTAAAGAAAAACAAGGAAATATTTTTTTTTTTATCCTCATCTCTCTCTCTCTTCAGATGTCCATTTCAAACTGAGCATCTTCTCCTGGAAAAGAGAAAAACATCAGAGTTAAGACAGAAATGCAGAAAACACGTTCTACTGTCTTTCCGTCACAGACATGTTTTACCTGCGCTGTCGTCTGCCTGCAGGCTTTGGTCAGTGTTCGGTGTTTGTTTGGGCGGGTTAGTGTCGATGGAGTTGTTGGGTTTGAGCGGCCTCGTGACGCCGGGGATGTCGGGCAGTTTGGGAGGCGTCCGAGTCAGAGGAGACGTTCGACACTGCAGGAGGAACTTCCTGTCGTAGATGATTCTGGTGCCTGCAGGGGGCAGCAGCAAAGGAACGTTTGCTCATTCTCTTCAATGTTTTCGGTTTGTTGAACAAATAGGATCCATCACTGTCACTAAACTGTACCGAACAGCTTTTTGTTCAGGCGAATCCACCACAGCAGATAACTTTGATAAACACTTTGAATTACAACAGATAAACTAAACTGAAATAATGTTGATTAATGAATGAATCTCCTTATGTTGACATTATTAAAAATAATAATAATAAAAAAACACCTGCACTGTATTCAGGAGACCTTCTACACTGAGCCATAAGGCTCCAGTATCGCCCTGTGATAGTGGTTGTCCAGTGTGTCCTCACCCTACACACGTCCACACATGTCCGTCACCGCTGTCCCACTTTGTTTTTTGACATTCGTATCGGTGACGTCAACAAAAACCTTCAGTGACCCAATTCTGTTTAACTTCAGTGTCAAACTTATTCCAGGTGGATGAGTTGCAGAACACAGTATCAGCCTCGATCAACATGTGCACGTTTGTTTGAACGTTCTCACAACTCGAGCGGTGAAAACATTTTCTTCTTTACTTTAATCACCATACAGAGATTTCCCACGGCCTCTGGCCCGTGGACGTCTGAGTGTGACTCTGGATAAATGGGTCAAACAACAGAATGTGACGAGCGGGGTGAAACTGGGACTGAGGATAAAGTTTGTACGTCGCATCTGTAAATAAAAATAAATTGTTGTTTCCAGCTCTTAAAGGTTCAGAGTGTAAGATGTAGGTGAAAGGGATCTATTGGCAGAGAATATGAAATATTTCAGGGATGTTTTCTCTGTTTGTTTCATCTAAATTGTAGGAATTGTTGTTTTTCTTCACCGTATAATGAGCCTTTATATTTAAATACTGTATCGGGAGCGGGTCGTCTCTACAGAGGACGACCATGTTCTCTTTCATGTTTGGAAGGCCAGGGTGAGGTGTGTTCAGCTGCAACAAGCAAACTTCACCACTAGATGTCACTAAATTCTACACACTAAAAAAAAACAACTTTAATTTGAAAGACGATGCAGAAGAAATGCTTTAATGGTTGGAAATTATGTTGTTACATAGTTCGTACAACAAAGTGTAGTTTATTCTTTTTTATTCTTATTTGCGATGATGAATGCATCATTTACAAAGATGTTTATGATGCAGCAATGACGTCAAAGTCTAACATCAGGATAAATCGGTACTGGGAATCTTTTTACTCTTTAATATCAGTATTTGCATCGACCCTCAAAAATCCATATCAGCTGGGCTCTGATGTAAATTCATCTTTTATGTAATTTAGTTTGATCTTAATCCAAAACAGTAGTTGGTTGTGAGAGTCATTATTATTGTGCACTTAATAATATATACAGTCAATGATCCCGTCCTGATATTCCACCTGAAATCCAACCAGTGACGCGGTGTCGCCCAAATCTAGTAAACAAGTTGCTGCAGCTCAACAACAGCAAGTCGTAATGACGAGACTATAAATAGAGTATGAGTGAGTACAGTCCTATATTTGACCACACAGTCGTCGATTGTGTAATAATACACAGCTACGGGATGATGACACTGAAATCAGAAACCAAATATATGAAATATACATGAAATTACTTTGAAATGAAAAATCTGATCACGTCCGACTTCTCTCCTGGTATAAATTAAAGTAATGCATTTTTAAATGAAGGCAGAGCTTGTAAATAAAAAAATCTGTGCAATGTGTATGTAGGGAAGTAATGTTATTGGGTGCTAATAATTGATCTTCTTCACCATCACTATAAAACATGAACTGAGAGACACGACAACTGTGCCTGAGATATACAATCCATCCTTTTTCAAATCAACTACAGGAAACCTAGAAACAAATTTAAATCCTAGATGATATTTTTAATTTACAACTTTAATATATAGCGACAGCAGCTGTGGTGTAGGATGATCCGGAATGTGAGGGCGTAATATTAATATCAAATATTAAGTTTCTGTCCCATCACTTCTCACATCTCTTTAACTTCTCCTTTTTTCATTTCACAAATAAAGTGTCTTCCAATTCCCAATGATAATAACAATATAATAATAATAATAATATCTTAATTTATATAGTTCTTCTCCAAATAGTAAAACATTACATACAAATAAATAAAAAACATAAAAACTTTGAATAAATCAAAGGCTAAAACACTAAACGTGTGACAGAAAGTTTCCTGTGTTATTGTATTTATTCGTTTCCTTCACTTTTTATTGACTTGTTTGTAAAAACCTTTCTTGACTCAGTATTTAAACATGAGCTCCAGGTGAAGTCAGGGGATGACGACAGTCTTAGTTTGGTTGATAGAAGCCTGATGATATGATTCATGTTAATATGTTTAATGCTCCTTCCCTCTGACATTGACCCGCTGCCCGAGCGTTACCTCCGGGTGTGGTGCTGAACAGGGTCCCCCCGGGGGTCGTGGAGTAGTCCAGCGGCATGTGGGCAGCATCGTGGATCGCGACCCGCCGGACCGCGGGGATCTCCCGGCTCTTGGTGGTGTGACCTCCCGCAGACATGTCTCTCAGCTCCGGGTTCGCGGTGGAGTCTCTGGAGCTGCAGCTGCGGCTCGGACAGGAGAAGTTTCCCTCGAAGCTCCACGTGGTGAGAAAAAGCCAAAACAACCCGGGCACTTCCTGCTCGACGGCACGTGCAGCGGGCCGCTGCGATTGGCCGACAGCAGGGGGCGGTGCAGGAGCTGGGAGTTGCAGTCCTCTTCCGGCTCTGGTGACTACAGTTCTACAGGAAGACAAGGGTCACACTGAAGACTGGATTCGAACACGTGCTGGAATGATCACGTATGCATCACATACAAACATGTAAACACACACCACACCTGTGTTTCCTCGTGTCTCTGACTCCCTGTTCAACTTCATATGGATTTTTAAAAAATACCCTGAAGGCCTCAAATGACCTTGTACCTAAATATCTTGATTTATTGACCATGTTTGCACTGATAACAGCGGATGGACAGATCTCACCTCATGACAAAGGGTTAATCAAGTTTTAACTATCCCATCCCCCGCATTATAAAACCCATTGAACCCTCACTTGACTCTTATTTGCACTTTTTATGATCTGCATCTTTTTTACTCTCTCATCTGTTTTTATCTTTGTCTTATTCTCGTCTTTTCTGCCTGTTTGGTGTCATTTCTTCATCGTGAATCACTTTATAACACCGTTGAGAAACGGCTTATTAATAAAAAATGAAAAAAAGTCAACCGAGAAAATAATCCTTGACTTGGTGAAGACATTAAAATTTTTTACACCAGTAAATTCATTATTCCGGGATGTGTTTGTTCTTGTACTTGTAGGAACTTTTAGGTGCCTCTATGATTTTTAAGACCTCACCGTGTGAAGTGCCTCGAGCTGGGATTTGGTGCTATACAAATAAAATTAAAATCAAACCATGAAAAACAATTGTAGCAGCACTTGATCATTTGCAATATCAATTATGAGAGATAATGAATCACCAGCTACTCGGGTTAAATGGTGAAATAGTTTGTGAGCGAAGCAGTGAAAGCAGACACGTGTTCTTTGTCACATCTTTGTTTATTAAGTCTTGTAAATGGTTTGAGCTGGTGTACAGGGTAAGATGATCTATACATATCTTCATGTCAGAACGACTCTGATTTGAAAGGCTTGTATACATATTCACGTTTGTTTCTCCTCCTTCCAGGACAATACAAAAGAAAAGAAAACAAGTGGTCATAGCTACAAAGCCTCTACATTCCCCATGATTATGGGCGTTGGCCTAGTCTAGATAATGCTTAAAGAACATCCATAACAACTCTATGAGGGTGCATAGCATTCTAATTAAATATATTTTGTCATATATTTATACATATATTTTCATAAAAACATCGTTTTTTTTGTGCATGTGCGCGGTTGCATTCCTTAGGATAGAGTAATATGATATTGCGTTTACATTGTCATGTATCCATTCTAAAGGAGTATAGGTGATCTTCTATTCTTCGCAACAGTTAAAATTTTACAATACTCTTTTTTAAAATACGTCGTCATAGGTTACACGTCCTCTCGAGTCAAACGCCTGGTAGAAATCCTCACTCTTCTATACCCTCCGATCCAACCAGGTGTAAAACCAAGCACCATCTCACACACGCACGCACACACACACACACGGTATCCATACAACAAAAACATGTTGGAGATAAATTTGTAATAGTGCAGAGGATCACTAGCTAAATCCAAATGAGTGATAATGATTGTAAATTTACATTAATTTGCTTTATACATTTTTATTCTTAAAGGACTTTATTCATGATTTTGAAATCGCTCAACATCTGGTCCTTTAACTTTAAAATGAGGATAATGACTCGTAGTCAAAGTTATATATATAATGGATGAATTTGGCGACACCTGTGGTTGTTGGTGGTAATAACAAGTGTTTCCTTCTACTGACTGAAGATTGTTAAGATTCATGGGGACGATTAACGGAAGCGGTGTCATCTGATTCGTTTAATACTGATTGAATGTTGTCTTGCAAGTTATGTGAGATTATTATTACAATTACAATTAAATCCATTATTGTTTAGACAGCAGGCAGTCCCGCATGTAAATATATTAAATTGTTAGACAAATATGTCATTGAATATATAATTTCAAGGATCATGACTTTAGCCCAAGGATGACACAGTAAGAGACCAATAGAATAAAGTAGAGTGCATCGATTTAGTGACCGAGGGGTAAATAAACTCTATCAGTCAGAATTAAAGGCTTGACTCTATGACAACAGTTGATTCTTTCAGGTCACACCATGAGATCTGTTTTCCTCAGACAAAGTGAAGGGAATATTTCTACATTGTCTTTTTACTTGAAAAGGGAGAAATACTTCTCTAACACTAAAACCTTTTGTTCCATTTTTGAAAATGAATTTGGATGAACGCAACAAACCGAAGTGTTTGTTCTCAGCAGGAGCTGAGCGGTTAGACGAGGAGGGGGTCCCACGCACAGGTTTGCATGTACTGGGCACAGAGACGTGGTTAATGACCACACACTCAATACTCTGCATATTTTTTTGGTATTTGAATCAAAATAACTCTCACACACACACCCACACAAACTCACATTCAAACCATTCCTCTTCAAACCCTTCCCACACGTCCCTGCTCCGCTAAAACACGGCTGAAACAGCGGAGTCTGACCCCGAAACGCTCCCGTCGTGTCCCACAGTCGTCTCTGAGAGGAGGACTCAGAACTTAAAAAAACCAAAAACCTCTTGATTCTGACCAAGCAGAACTGAAAACCTGAGTGGAGTAACAGTGGAAAAACATGTGATATGTAATAAACATGTGCTCTATCAGATGAGGCGTGGAAAATACGTGCATTCACGTGATGCGTGTTCAATCACTCGGTGTCTCAGTCACTCAGGCTACAGTAGCGTTTACAGTACTCATGGGATAAATATTGTGATTTTGAATTCCAGGAAATGTGTGCTACTATGATGTGACCCCTTCATCACGCTGCCTTCAGGTTCTGCATAAAGTGAGTGTCGAGCAGAGATGAAGAGAACAAAATGTACGACTTTTTAAATACGTGACTCACTCATAACTTAAATTTCTCAGAAAAAGAAAATGGAGTTGGTGGTTTCCACCTTATCGGCAGCAGCAGACTCTCTCAGGTATCAGTGTGTGACGTCGACATGTCCTGGTTTATCATTTTTGCTACGTTAGGTGCTGAAAAACAAACAATCCTGCTCAGGCCTCCACGTTCCCACACTGCTACAGCTGAGTCATCTGATGTTGCGTCAGCGCGCCCTCTCGGACTCTTTCACATCAAGGTCAATGGGACGAGTCAGGTACATCGCGGCTGTCCGGTGCCAAACTCCAGTCCTGTTTGTCCAGATGTTTTCTGTCTTTACTGACGATTTCAGTGTCACATCCTTCATGTCCACGTACACGACCCTGGTGTCCATCTTCTGCGTCCTCGCCGTCCAGTTTTATTGCTGTGGCATACTCCAAAAACTATCCCGACACTCCACCAGGCGATAATCATTTAATCATGTTAATGTGTTTCTCATTATGTGGGAACATATGCATGTGTGCTTTTTCTTTGTTTGTGTGTTTATGAATGTTTTTGTGTCTTCACAGTCTGGGGTCGGTGTTAATAGGACGATCACAGTGCTACCTGTCTATGCTCGATGCACAGGTCCGTTCACATGCCGCAGCAGCACGATGCTGTTGCACATTAAATCCTTCAAAGCATCAAATCCTCTCAACCTCCAAGTTTTCTTTCTCTCTCAATCACTCACTTTCTAATGAGAAGTCGACAGTGAGGTGCTACAGCCACTGCAGAGAAAACAAGGAGCACACAGAGATTTAAAGATGAGACGGAGAAGGTGCTGATGGAGACGCCTGTGATTTTACTGCATATCGATTGAGGCTACTGATTAAGAAGGTGGACGGAAGAAAAAGGAGGGGGAAAAAGTGGACCTTTGTGTTGTAGAGCTACTGCACAATACAATCAAGCAACCAACCCCTTCCCCAAAGAAAACATTCCCGTCGTCTGAGAACGTGAAAACACGGGGGTGTGAGTTCTGGACTGAAGTCAAAACAATGCTGTGAAACTGAGGTGGATCAGACACGTCCCAAAGAAACGACGGACAAGAAGCGAGGACATCAGCTACACGCAGACAGGAACACTCACGAGCAGGGGCGGCACAGCGGCTTTCTCATTCCAGCACTGAGCACGCCGTGACATCACAGGGGCAAAGAAGCCAATCATGGGGCAGGGCTCAGCGCCAAGCAAGGAACACATGCGTCAGAGAAGAAATACACGCACACGTACGCACACATACACATACCGACACATGTCCACGTAGCATAGAGTGCATATATCACATTGAGAGTAATTGGGGGAAAGGGTCTGGTGAGAGAAGCATCGGTCGGCTCAGCAGAGGCGTAGCTGTTTACAGAACCATCCATTGAGGGACTTTTTTTTGGCTGCAGTGTTATTGTACTCAACTCGCTGACACAAACCGTCCAGTCAGGGGGAACTAGGTCCTTAAAACGGCCCGAGACCCAACGTGTGGGCCAGCCCCGTACCTTGTACCCCTTCAGTTTGTAGATAATGACAGTTCAAAAGGTCAAAGGGCATGCACCAGCAGTCATCATGCGATTACAGTTCACAGGAAGCACTTTTTGTTGCTTTTTTTTTTTCTTGGTTATTTTACTGACATTTATGTTTTTTTGTAGAAAAAAAAGAAGAATCATCATGCCTTAGTCTAGTTGACTTTTTCTTTACAAATCTTAAAAAACTACAAGTTGAACTCCTCTTTTTTTTTTTTCTCTCTTCTCTTCGTTTTTCTTTTGTGATTTTCCAGGTTCACACCTTGAGAATGATTCTTGTGTTTGTCATTTTGTAGTTTGCACTTCTCAGTCTTTGTCTTCCTCTCCTCGATTTCTCATTTCCATCTGCGCTCTGGTTGTGTTTTTTTGGAGGGTGTTTTGGCAGTGGCTTTCCTGTCCTGGAAAAACAGAGAGACGCCATCAACACAAAGAAGCAACACAGGCTGGATGACTCTGGCTGTTTAAAAGAAACTTGTGCAAAAATCAAGGACACTTAACTTAAGGGGCTTTCACAATTACATTGTTTGGTTTGGACCTTTCGACTTTTCGGATCGGTCCGAACCAAAATAATAGGTGTGAAAGATGCACTGGACCACGGTCAAGACCAAGACCACCAAAACAGGTGGTATCGGTCCGGATCAAACTGAGCAATGTGAAGTTTGCAGAGTGAAAACATTTTATTTTATTGGATAGTTAGATCTTTTGGACCAATTGCAGGAAGTTGAGACGGCATTGAACAATAGAGTTTGAACAAGGACGTTCATTTTGATGGTATAAAACCTTTTTGAAATTTCAATGGCAACAAAACTAAGACTTTAACCTTGGTTCAGACTGTGGTCCAGACTATCAGGAGTGAAAACGCCCTCAAACAATAAACTGAACAGAACGTGAGAGACTATCAGGCTCTAACAGGATCCACTATGTTACCATAGCAGCATCTATCCAAGCACTGGGATGCACAAGTGCTTGTTGTGTGTCCCGTACCTGGAGGACCGGGTAGTATGTTTATTTCAGTGTTTAACTCTCCGCAGACTGGTGCGTTGCACTGACTGAGCACCCTTTCTCACATCCACCCCCACCTGGAGCAAGGAGGGCGGGAGGAGGGAAGGAAACAACACTTGGACCAGTTAAGTGCTGAAGCCTCTGCATGTGACGAGAGCAGGAAACTAACATGTCCACCGGGCAAAAAATTTACTCATATAATAATACTACTATTTGTATCTCTGGATTATGGCTGGTTACTTCCAACCATCATTTGGCTGGTGGCTGATGTTAATTTCCCACCCTTCACAGCAAAACGCTGTGTGCTTGAGTTTGCATGTGAATATTTTGTGTGTAAATGATGAAAACACAACCTACTTACTTTTCTAGCGAGCCCATGTCCGCGCTCATCGGCAAACTGAACCTCAGCAGCATAGTCCTCTTTCTCCTCCCTCTGCATAGAAATAACACAATTTAAAAACATTAATGTTAAAACATAGCGTTTATATCGATTCCACAATAAATAGTTTAAATCAGAATGTTTAAGAAAACCAAAAAGTATCTGTCATGGCCACAAGCTGTAGATAAAGATGAATGACGAGTAAAGCCAAAAGGCCTCGATCGCCACCTTGTGTGGCGCCGTTAACTTCTTTATAGTGGAGACGCAGCCCATCTTTATTTACAGTCACTATTCATGGCAGATATTTCACCATGTGTTGAACCACACAACACATCGCTGTGCTCCGATTCTGTGACTTCATCAAAATTATACATTTTGATGACCGCTTGAGACTAAAACTGTTAAATGGTCGTGTGAGAAAAAGTCTAATTGAGTGTATTCCAATCTGTTAATTGAAAAAAGATAAAAGAGATGGACGAAAAGATGTTCCCTCTCCGGGCACAGGAAGCGGCGGCTGGTTGGCGAAGCAACCTGACCTGGACCCGCCTCTCCTCCTGTTCCCAAGTGTGTTGGCCCGCCTCCTGATGAGTGAAGCCCAGCCCCTTGCCAAAGGGCTGCGTGCCCTGCAGGAGGCGCCCACGCAGCACATGAGAGTAACCCGTGTCACACACCGGAGTCAGCAGAGCCTCCTGGGCCACGCGCACGCTGACGTCCCGTCCCGACGTCACTGAGCCGACCCAGCCCTGCAGCGAATCCTTGTCCGGTAAATAGGGTTGAAATGCTCCGCCTCCGACCACGCTGGAGAGAAACATGCAAATAAAGAAATGAAAAGGAAAGGAACATGTAGTAAACATGTTAATGACCACGTCTTCAGACAGTGATTTCTGTTTGAACACAGTTAAAGTCGACATACCGGTTGTCTCCATTGTGCTCGGTGGCCCGACTCAGTCCCGACACCTCACACCGCTGGGCGTACACCTGCTGGCCTGCAACAACAGAAATCCCTTCCACTGAACCCAGCCTTTCACCTCCTCCCTTTGCTCCTCCTCCTGCCGCCATGGCTTCCCCTCTCCTCCCATCCGACCTCTGACCTCCCAGCTGGCCGTTTAGGTTGACCTTGGGTACGGCGCCACTGGCCCTGACCCTGTCCCTTTCTGCCAGTATACTCGCTGGCTCCTGTGGCGCCTCCTCCTCCTCAACCTCCCCTTCCTCATCATCCTCCTCCTCCTCCTCCTCCAGCTCCATGATGGAGCCGCTGGCCCCGCTGGCTCCGCTGCTCGGGCGACCCAAGCTGTAGGGGAGGGACAGCGTGGCGCCCTCCGAGTCGTCAGCCCGACTGCTGCCATCTAGCGACGAGTCCTCCACCGTAACCAGAGAGGGGCTGACCCCTGCTGGCCACACCTGAACATCTGACATCTCCATTAATGTGTCTTCCTCTGTGGTGGCAATGGGGGCGCACTCAAGGCTGGACACTTCCTGCCAGTAGGGCTCCACTCCCAGTGGGGAGGGCAGGCTGTACAGCATGGAGGCCGGGGACAGAAGCTCCTCCTGCACCAGCCCGTAACCTGGAGGGAAGACAGGGCGAGACAAAAGAAAGACTAACACCACGCAGGCACAGCCAGGGGGAGGGCGGGGGGGTGGAGGGTCGACTGTTTCTCCAACTTATACAAGTGAGTGAAAGTCAGGGAAACAGTGTGGCTCAGCCCTGTCCCAATATACTGCACCAGGAATTAACGTAGGGTTGGTTTTTATGAGAGCCTGATAAATGTCTCGATGAACATCAGCTGAAATGAGCCTTTCACATACACATCAGTATCAGCTTTTATGGTTGCCGATATGAAAACTGTACATTTATGTTTAAATTACATAGAATATATTCCAAAGTATTCAGTTGTATTCCTCATTATTTCTATTTATAAGTTTTTATAGTAAAGTTTACGGTTACATTTTTAAATATTAAGTAAAATGTCTTTGTCATAAGGATCTGATAGACCTGACAGTTCTTATTTATTGGTTTCAGAAATCTTTTACTCATGATATATCGGTATTGGCATCTGTCTCCAAAAATCCACAAACCAGCCGGGATCTAGTTTTTAATCATGCACCTAAAAGTGCAAAAACATCGTATTTCAGCTTCCTTCTTCTTTCCACTGTTCCTTTGTCTGAGTGATATAAACAAAATAATCTATCTGATTCGGTTTTAAGCGAATGGCGGCTCAGGTTATTGACATTGGGACACAGCAGTAAGAGTGAGGTGGGGGATAAAGGGGCTTTGGTGTGTCATCCACTGTGAGTCAGGTGAATGATGCTCTAGTCTTGCCTCCATGTAAGAAAGTGAGTGTAGAGAACAAACACTGTGTTACTTGATAAGAGAAAAAAGAAGAGGTGAGAGTTGTGTATCTGTTGTGGGGTTAGAACGATATAGATTTAACACAGAAGAGTGATCTTCGATGTCTCTGTGAAAATATGTCAATTCGATTTTTAAAAGGCTGTCAGAGAAATTTGTGTCAGCGGTCTCACAGTTATTAGTACAACTACTACATTTAAAGGGTATACTGTATATTTGTACATACCAACACTTTTTTTTTTATCTAAATGAAAATGTCTCTATCATCGTTCTAACCCCCGTTAGACGTCTCTGGGTGGGAGTCAGCAGCATGTTGCAGATTCTGTGGAGGAAAATGCAAGTTACTGTTGCTCTCACAGATTTATGCTTTCATTTGTCTGCATCCCAAGGTCACTGTGCACGCACGCACACACACACACACATACACACACACACACACACACACAAACGCAGACAAAGTGTTCTAATTGAATATTATTTTGAAATTGATTTGCGTCTGTTAATTGAAGTCGGTCTCGAATTTTACACTAAACTTTATTAAACATAAATCTAAAATGACAAAGTTGTAGAACGTATTACTTCTCTGTTAGGGAGGGATTTATAGAATGATAGAAATTATTAAATAAAACTATCAAAGGACACAAGGACAAACAAACACACATCATATGTTTATCATTTTATCTAATTTTATTTTTAATATGAATTTCTTGGCAGATACATCACGTGGTGTATTAATGTGATTCAGATTCATATCTAATGCTGCACTTATATTTCAATGAGAGGACCTGCAGTGAAATGAGAACAAGTGTTTATACTTAGTTGTAATGGTATTTATGTTTCATCTTTTAATACTTTGCCTGGATCTCAATATTTGCTTTCAATCTGCAAATTAATAACGGATGAGAAAGGTTATAATTGGATTGAGTGGCAGTGTAATAAAACATTTTTTTGGAGTTTAACATTAAAAAGTATTCTAAATATCTAAATTGAAATTTTGGAAATGTCACTTAACTGAAAACTGCCAGTAAGTATGTTGTCTTTGGCGATGTTTGAAGACAATAATGTTGATTAATGATTAATGTTTATTAATTAATTTAAATGTTTTTAATAAGTCGTTGCATCAGTTACTTTGGATGAATAATGTTCAGTGATATCGAACAGTAAAGAAGTACTTCACCCAACATTTACAATAAGATGTTTCAGTGAAGCAGCGAGAATCGAGGTAACAGATTAACATGACAGAAATCTGACAGACACATCGTGTAGAGCAGTTTTTTTTTAACCTTGATTAGAGATTTAAAGGAATGTGATGGGGATTACTACTACATAACAAAAACATTCATGTTCTGGTGACATTTACTGAATTTGAAATGCTGTGATGTATAAACACAATAAAAAGTAGCAAAAAACAAACTGAATAAATATCTGCTAAGTTTTCATGATCCAGCTACAGGCAGAGAATGATTTATAATGTTCATTCTTAGATTTTAAATTGTTTAAGGTCAGAATAATAATAATAAGAAGAAAGACGGAGGAAGATTTTTAACTTTACCAGCACATCGGGCTACCAAACACATTCTCACAACATCTCAAACTACAAACTGAAACTTATTCTCGTGGGTGAAATACTTCTTTATTGAGTCAGTATCTGTCTCTCAGAGTTTATGGACCATGGTGCGAGCAAGTGTGTGTGAGTGTGTTTATGTGTGTGTGTGTTTCTTGGATGGTCAGGGGCCATGGATGATGGGATGTGGCATCAGAATGAGGTGAACAGGGAGGAATGAGTTAGAATTAGGATGAGATTTAGAATGAGTCAGATGAATCTGGGTTAGCCTTTCCCTTCACTCCTGCTATTTAAACACAAACACACACAGACGCACAAGTGTCAAAGAATGTAGTGAAGCACAAATCCACAGATTGTCATGGAACAAGAAAAACACAACACACAACACACTGCACAGCACGCTACTCACACACACACACATATACAGACACAACACTGCATTCATATTACAATAAAAAATGAGGACACACACTTTTATCTCAGGTGACGCTTAAATGTACAGATATAATCACACACACACACACACACACACACACACAAACACACCTCACAGCGTTAACCCTGCTGGCAAATAACGTTCAGACAATATCAGCAATGAGCTTGTCATCAGACTTGGGCAAAACATTTCATGGAAATCATTAAATATCAGCACACAAGATATTTAGCGTGTGCACATAAGTCTCCGTAGAGTATAGATCGTTTGTAAATAATTCTGTATTAAAAAAGTCTGACATTTATGAAATTGAATCATTCACTCTTGTATATTTTGCCCATGAATGAAAGACACAATGTCAGAGCGACTTTGGACGTTGAACGTTATGTGCTACGCAGCTGATTACGTGTTACAGCGTTTAGCATTAAAGAAAAAAACACACACTATTTATTGTACAAGAAAAGAAAATGAAAACATTGGTTTGTTAATATAGCATTTAAAACAAGACTGAAATACACCCATTGAACAGAGAAAACATTTTACACAGTGAAAAAAATGTCATACATTGAAAGCATGCCATGCACATAAAGATGTCGTAATCAAAAACAGCAAACTTTATTTAGTTCCACAAACTACACACTCACACACTTCAAGTACTTCTAGTGTAAAAACTAAACAAAAATATTCACACTAGTTTCTTGCAAACTGAGCTAAATCATATGATCTCCTTGGCTTTGTACTAACAATAATATAATTTAATTTACTGCAGCCTAGGTCTGAAACAACCTCAAGCACTCACACACAAACAGATACTGTAACAGCAAAGCATGCGACATGCACGTGCACAAACTGTAGTACAAACACAGAGCTGGATTGAGAGAGGAGGAGAAGGTCCACGCTCTGACTGAACGAGGGAGGAGCGCGGGAAATAAGATGACAAGAGAGGAGGAGGCCCAGAGGTCAACATGAGGTCATATGAGGTCAGAGGTTCGGACAGGAAGAGCTGTGAGGAAGAAGAGCAGGAGACGGGAGGAGGAGGAGGAGGAGGAGGAAGAGGAGGAGGAAGAGGAGGAGGAGGGAGGAGGAGGAGGAAGAGGAGGAAGAGGAGGAGGAGGAGGAGGAGGAAGAGGAGGAGGAGGGGCAGGGCGGCTTGGCAGCAGATATGACATGTCATAGGTTCAGAGAGAGACTGAGAGCAGGAGAGAGAGGGAGACTGTCCTGAGGAAAAGGCAAAATTTCAAGGTCGAGACACCGTCTGCTGTCAGTGTGAGTGAAATTCTGTCTTTTTCTCAGGGAAAGAAAGAAAGAGAGAGTGACAGAGAGAACGAGAGAGGAGGAGTAGAAACAAGGTATGAAGGCCCAGAGAACACTATTACCTGTGTACCAGTGTTACTTTAGACTAGTGTATCCATCCCAGGCACACACACACACATGAATCGCACGCAGCCAGACAAACACCCACATATAATCTAAACAAACATCTATAGGTTAAAATGAGGAAATGTGTTGGGCCTTAAAAGTCTTAAAATCCTGTCAGTAAGAGTGAATGGGAGTTTTCCTCATTTCTCATATTAAGCAAGACGAATAGGAACCATCATGTTCAGGGCTCGAATATGAGGTGTGAAAGAAAAATGACTTGTGCCCTTAGTGCATGCTGCAAAAGGCTGGGTTCATGGTGGGAGAATGACACCATTCGTCAGACCTTAAAAACATGGCTTGAGTTTCATCATCATCACCATCATCATCATCATCAGCGTCATTTTTACATGAGCAGCAAACAACCATGCAGCCCGAGCTCCCTTCAACTTACCCCTTCTGAAAAACGGGGGTCTAATAACTCGAGGCTTGTGCACTAGGCGCGGTGGCCTTGTGTCCGTGATCTCTTGTGGAGCAACAGAGACAATAATGAAATGGCTGTTACCCAGACTCCAGGCAAACAGGGAGGTTTTCAGGTCTCAAATATTTCATCGTGATGTCCTAACTCACTGTCATATGTCAATACATCTGTGAGTTTTATTTATTTGCATGTCTACTCAGAGAGATGTGAGTATAATATATTATAATAATTGACACAGAGACAGAATTATGGTTTTTTGTGGAAGAAAATCTCTTATAATGTCACCAAGCACCAAATACTGTACTGAGCCAAATGAAGTAACTGAACCTGCACATAATTCCTATAAAACTCTTCATTTCTGATCATTACACATTAAAAATATAAAATATCAAACAATGAGCTGAATATTTGTCTCGTGGGAATATGCTGAGAATTCAATCCATATTTCTATAATTTATTCTCATTTAAAATATCTTTAAAGGAGACATATTAAGCTCATATGCAGGTTAACAGTTTTCATTTGGGTTATTACTTGAAAATGTTAACACGGTCTAATGTCCAGGAGACAAATCACTTTCCTCAAAAAACAAAAAAGCATCATATGTCTCCTTTAACTATCAAATTTTGGAAGAATCAACTTTAGTTTAAAACAAATAGATTCCTAACATACTATAGAAAAAAGTCAGGATCTAGACTTAGTGACTGTTTTATTTGCTTTAAGGTTAAAAATACAATAAATCACTTCGAGCATCGCACATATTTTTTAAGTCTAAATACAGTGGGCTGAATACTCACTGCTGAATTTACTGATTTGAGCATTGTGTCTTATGTGTGTCTTATGTGCACGATGTGTTTGTGTGTCTTACCATTGATGATGCTGGGCGACAGCAGAGTGGAGTCACGGTCGCTCAGTCGACAGGCACCCTCGTCCAAAGAGCCAGGCACCGGCAGCTGGGCCTGTCCCTCCAGAGACGTCACGATATCTGCACGGTCGATGTTCTTCAGGGCGGTGTACAGGCTCTCCACTGAGAGGACAACACATTGATGGTAGGAGGTGGGGAGACGGAGAAACAGGTGAGACAAACGAAGAAGAGTTTGTGCACGAGAACACAAAAGAGACAACGCATATCTGTGGCGTGCAGCTGCTTGTATGCACTGGTAAATTCCTTCTACATTATTCCTGCAGCTGAGATGCACGGTTGTGTTGGACTCACTCTTGGCCCTTTTGCCTTCTCTGCCTGCCCACAGGTTGAGCAGTGCAGAGCTCTGGTCCAGCAGTGAATTAGGATTCTCCACACGGATCCTGTTGATGTCGTCCACGCCGAACTGAAGCTCTCGTGCCAACTCTGCCAAGAGAACAGACGAGCAGATTGAAAGATACCGCCATATAATCAATTTGAGAACTGTTCATCTTAATGGTTTCACACTGAGTATTGTTTAGGGCCCAGGGAAGTGCAGAGTGGAATTTGGTGGGATTTGATCATGCGATATTAATACAATTTGTCCCACAGTCAGTCCTCACATGCCTAAGTTACTGCAGGTCACTTAAAAGTTTCAGAAAGAAAGCTGCCTCCTGCACCACCACAGACCGAGCAAACAGGAAAGACAGTAGATATTCACATTTGTTAAGTGACTAACCTGCCCAGCTCAAACCGAGCTGTTCAGATATGATGTTGATTTTGATCTCAGTCCTCTCCATGGCATTCACTGTGGCTACAGAGAAAAACAACACAAAATATAAGACCACAAAGTCTGAACCCCAGAAACATGTAACTGAGGAGACTCGAACTCTGAGTCTCACTCAGTCCAGCTGATATCTACTGTCAGTAACTAGTAAAATGATGTGTGCAGGTAGTCATGACTGATTTGGACTCAATAGATAAATCAAATCAACTTTCCAATGATGTGTAATCGAACGGTTTGTTACTCAAATGCTTTCTTTTGTTCTCTTTCCTAAAATACTTGAGTTGCTATTAAATTTTCTAATAGCAAAACTTACCTTGACAAAAGCCCTGCTCTGTTGAAGGAAATAAGCAGCACCCACAACAATATTTTTTGTCCATATGATCCTCAGGGTCTTGTGGGAAGGGGGGACGGTGAGAATTTGGGGTTCATTCAGGTGCTATAGTCCCACCAGTCAAACTAGCATTCAGAAACCGTTTCAGAGGGACTGAGGTGCAATGTAGCAGCGCTGTGATAGACAGAAAAGGCCTTTCCCCTTCATTCCCACCCACTGTCGGCACTAGTTAAACCAACCACTACGGCCATCTTGGCTCATTTACCCTTAGGCCAGTGTCAGGGCTCCTCTGTCTAGCTCCACTGCGAGGTCCTGCCCATTTCCGCTGCTAAGCTACAGTGCTGATGCTAACGGTCTCTGCTGCCATGCCATTGGAAATCGCAGTGGAGAAACCAGCGCCATGCAAAACCAATCACGGGGGTCATTCATCTGTTGTCATAGCTACCAGGACACTGAGGGAAAAGAAGAGGCTAATTTGCCAAGTGCCCTGGAGCCATGTGGGGTCATGTTGGGGGATTGCTGCTCAACTTTTGGTCGCACATTCAATACGATTTGCTCTGACCGCACCGCAAAGAACTCTGGGTCATACTGTAGAGCAGTGCATTGCATCCAAGGCTCAGTCTGTGCCATGCGTGCACGCGAGACAGATAAGGTGGCGGGGGATAGAGAGGGAAGAGTAGGGAGCGGAGGGTTGTGGGTAAGAAAAAGGGCAATGCAACATTCAGTGCCCGTCTCCACTGTGTTTGTTTCAGGAGAGGGCTGAGGGTCAGGCAGCGAGACACTCACCCATTCCCGGCTCGTTCAGAGCACTGTAGCGCTCTCTCAGGGCGAGAGGGGTTAAAGTTCTCCTGCGCTCCTCACTCCCAACAACCTGAAAATAGATAATAACAACAAAATAACATTATACATAAATGTGAGCATAATATCAACAGTCTTCTCCATATTGAACCAATGACAAATATTCCCTGAATACTGGAAAAACCACACTATCAAAGAGAATCCTCCATAAATAATGAGCAAAAGTCTTTTTCTTTCAAACAACTTTTGAAAAAAGTTCTTGAGTTCTTACCTTGACACAAGGCGGCATGGTTATGTTAAGGTTACACAGAACGTGCTGCGTGTCCTCGTACTTGGTGCACTTCCGCAGAAAGGATAAAAAGCCAGCTGCCTCCTTGTTGCTGTCTCTGACCTGAGATCAGGAAAAGACAGATGAAGAGAGGACGAGAGAGAAATAGAGAAGAAGCAGAAGGAGGCATAGTAGACAGAGAGAAGAAAAGAGAAAAGATGGAGAATACAGAGAGAGAAAAGCAAAGAGAGATGGAGCAAAGATGAAGGGAAAGAAGTGGCAGATTAAGAGACACACGAGAAAGGAAGAGAATGAAACAGAGCAAGAGTGAGAAAGAGGAGGGACAAAAAAGACAGATCAAAACAGGTATTAGATCCCTCCACAGTGTCTCGAGCATGTGGTGGAGTAACATGGGACGAGAAGCAGGGGGAAAAAGGGATGGAAGCAGTCCACAGGCAGGCGAGAGGGAGAGATTTACCTGCACATTTACCTGGACGTCTGTCAGACCAGACAGTTACAGAGTGACCGTGAGAGAGAGAAAGAGAGACAGTGAGACAGACACATACAGACAGGCAAGGCCGCAAAGATAGGAAGGCAAGCAAAGAAAGTGAGGGCGTCACAGGACATGCAAACAATTACCAGAGTGAGTCGACAGGTAGATAGGCAAGTTGTTTGTTGTACCATAATTAAAAGATAATTATCGTATTAAGTATTGGTCTGACAAGGAAATGTTTCACACTGACGGACGGACATGGACAGAAAGACAATGAGGAATAGATGAGGTACCAAACAAAACAAATTAGCAAACTAATGAAAAATTACATGAATATATTTACAAGACATACATGAAGAGGCACGTACATACACACGCACTGACAGGCTGAAGATATGTCTGCTCTTTAGACATGTGTCTGCATAGGCGACCAGATACTCGCTATATTGTAGGCGTGTACCGGGCATGTTACTGTTACTGTTAATCTATGCGGATTGCATTTTGTGGACATGTAGTGGCCATTTCTGAGGATGTGCATAACCGATGCACCAAACCAACACATGATACACGAGGAAGTCATGATGTGTGCACGTGTGCGTAATTAGAAGCATGTGTATCTCCGGCCATACAGTGCAAGAGAAGGGATTTAAATAACAAAAATGCAAAGAAAATCCAGAAATGACTGTAAGTTATGAGAGAAGGACAGATTTTTTAGTGATTCATCCTCATCCAAAGGGGCACACTTAAAAAAACACATTACATTAAAATAAGGCACAATTATTATCTTGTTTATTTTGAAAAAATAATGATTTGACACACAACCACAAGGATGAAGAAAAAAAGACATCATGTTATGCAACACAACATAATATATCAAAATTATCAATATCAATAACATTTATTATATATTATTTTATTCCATTTCAAAACTTAGACAGTGTTACACATTTGTTTCGGGTGTAGTTTGAGATTTCTGTGGTGCAGAGGGAACACAGCGCTGTGTTCTGAATCTCAACTTTTACATGCTAATGGTGAGACAAGCTGAAAAGTGTAGATCACAGTGAAAAGCAAACAGACACACGAAAACCACCGTATGAACAGGTTGTCTCAGTGATCAGCAGGTGGGAGGGAAACTGACTAACAGGACACACTGAACCCGACAACACAACGAACCACAACACTGTATGAATAGTGAGTGATAGTGAAAGCAGGCGTCTGAGCAGTGAGATGGAGACAGACCTTGACAGAGACGGGCAGTCTGTTGTCCCTGAAGGCCTGGAAGCTGAAGCTGCGAGGCTGCTGCGTGGCCTTCCTGATGGGCACTAGGTTCCCAGAACACTCCAGGTGCAGCGGCATGCCCTCCATCAGCTGTGGAGAGAGCGTGATAAAACGTTTAGGATGACAAGATAAATCAGAATCAATCTTATTTGTAAAGCAAAAAACACTTAAGTCCACATACAGGTTTGGGAAGCAATGCCAGCAAAGCCCCCAGTTAACGCTACTGTCTGCATCTACTTTTTAAATACTAAACTTATAGATGATATAAATCATTCAAAAGAGCTAACCCCATAAAACCCACATTTATCTCCATAACACCTTTCCCTTTCTTTGCAGATTAACTTTGCCCCTGTACTGACCTCGATATCTCGGCTGCGGGCCACTTCGCTGAAGTTTTCATGCAGCTCCAGCGTCTTGTCCATCTTGTCATCCGTCATACAGTAACAGCGCAAACGTCCCTCCCGTGCTTCGTTCATCTTGGCGAAAATGACAAATTTGGCCATGTATGGTACGGACATTAACTCCCGGTACAGCAAGTTGGCAAAGGTCACGGCTTCTGCAGTGCGCGGACAGTCTGCCAGCCAGAACCTGGATAAAGTGGAAGAAGAGAAAAGACAGATAGAAGCTTGATTATTACGCAGATGTGGGCTGAGGAGCAGGGAGGAGACGCTGACTGGTCATAAATTTGTCCTGCTTCCTGTTGAGGCGCTCACCTTGCAGACACGTTGGTGGTAAAGTTGGCACAGTTATGAGCGTACATCAGCTTTGTGGTTCCAGTGATGTCCTCCCACTGAGCTGGTGCTGTTCCACCTGAGGCACAACAACCACACTGTCATTCATGTCCCAGTAAACAAGGTGACAAGATGTACAACACATTTTATGTAAAAAAACTAAATCCTAATTCAGAGATATTAGGCAAACGTCTTGTGTGTTTGATCATCTCTAAAGTGGATTGTACCAATGACACTGCAGAGGAGGCGCAAGCTGGTGGTATCACCCTCCCCTGCATCCCGAGGACTCTCCCTCCAGGATGGTGGCAGTGGGATGCGCAACCCGATTGGCCGGTGGAATTTGCGTCGGCGTGGTTCGATGGTAACCACTGGGCTGAAGGTCGCCTGGTTGCCAAGCTGCCGAGTCAGCAGTTCGTCAGGGATTGGCTGTGCCTGAAGTGGCGAGGGAAAAGGTAGTTGAGCGGGAAGATGCCATAAAGACAGAAAAAAAAGGATTTGGAGCTGAACAAAAGGCTGGGGTGTAAATCTGTTAATCGAGATACAAACAACTGAAGCAGAAACACGATATAAAGGCTGAGGTAAGGAAAGCAGGCAGGAAACAGAAACAAGGAGAGGATACAAAAGGAAAACAGAACAAGACTAGTGCTGGAGACTGAAAACATCAAACTCGCAAACATACTCACACATGCAACCAATTCATATTTCACACCTGACCCAACTCAGATCAGTGCATCAGCTTGGTCAGTGTGGCTCACAACTTAAATCAGGGAACTGAGGAGTGATGAATGGCTGGATAAAAGGAAAACATAAACAGAGCAGCATAAGGCATAATGCAAAACTCATGCACTTTCCTTAAATAACATCACTGCTGTGACAAATCAGTGCTTTGACAGACAACGTAAAGCAGCATACACCAAAAAAAATTTGAAAAATGAAATGTGGAGCCCGAAATCCGTCATGATCTTTCTGTCATGGAGCACAAAGCCGAGTGGAGGTGATGTGTGAAAGGAGATCGTCAGCGGGAGCATGTGCCAAGTCCCCATATGTGTGTCTGCGGAGGTCTGGATGAGTGACAGTCGGCCTCACATTCGCCAAAAAGCTCCTGGTGCAAATGCTAATTTAGAAACACTGCAGTGTGGCTGCACAGGCTGAGCCGATGAGAGGCTCAAGGAGAGGATTATATCAAATGTATAATATTATCATCTTATATAATTTACTATTCTAAAGCCCAACAT